ATTGGTAATCCCCCCTTATGTATGCTGGGAGGCAGTTAAAGAATCTTGGGCCCTGGACACTTATTGTGTTGTCTTTTGATGTACTTGTGGCACCCCTGCTTTTCATCTGGGGAATGTTGCATTCCTTGCCGAGCCGTTTACTTTTACAGGGAGTGATTTTCGTGTGCAGGTTTGGTACCAATCCCTCCAGGAGCTTCCAAGTGTATATTATCATGTACCTCTCTGGCCTGCATTCCAGGGAATACAGATCAAGGACCTTCAACCATTCTCAGTAATGTAATTTAGGTGCCTTATTGTACTTATGTGTTCTGTGAAAGTTCTTTGTACACTCTCCAGGTCTACAATGTTGCCAGCCTTGAAGGGGGCCATTAGTGAACAGTAGTATTCCAGCCTAGATAGAATAAGCAATTTGAAGAGTTTCGTCATGGGCTTGGTGTCCCTAGTTTTGAAGGTTCTCATTATCCATCCTATCATTTTCCTACCCTATGAGGTAGATGGGACATTGTTGTAGTCTTTGAAGGCTAGATCCTCTTACAATATTACTTCCAGGTCCTTCACATCTCTTTTTCACTCTATTGTATGGTTAGAATTTGTCACATACCCTGATGCATTTTTTATTTCCTCGAGTTTTCCATATCTGAGTGGTTGAAATTTCTCCTCGTTGAACTTTATATTGTTTTGAGTGGCCCATTTGAAGATTTGGTTGATGTCCACTTGGAGTCTTGCAGTGTCTTCGACAGAGGTCACTGCCATGATGATCCGGGTGTCATCCGCAAAGGAAGACACGAAGCTATGGCTTACATCTCTGTCTATGTCAGAGGATGAGGATGAGGAATAGAATGGGAGCGAGTACTATGCTTTGTGGAACAGAGCTATTGTGCCTAAAATGTCTGTCTTAAATATTGTGTTAACATATCCAGCCCAAGTAGAGTTAAAAAATACTTACAAATCTCATGCAGAATGCCAGAAGCAAGGGACTAGTAACCCCTTCTGCATAAATTACTAAATTAAAGTTAAAATTTTTTTAGTTTTTCCTTTTAGGTCACCCTGCCTCACTGTGTTAAAACAAAAATCTTACACAGCATTTGTTATATTTACTAGAAATATTTTCTATTGTGTAAACATATTTTTGCAGAACTCTGTACAGTGGACCCTCGAATTTCATAATCTCTCTTCTGAATGTAAAACTTTAGTTATTCTCCATAAAATGTATTTTTTTGTTAATATTTTTGGGTGTCTGGAATGGATTAATTGGATTTACATTTTCTCTTATGGGAAATATAAACAAAAAATACATTTTATAGAGGATAACTATAGTTTTACACAGAGAAAAGGGATTGTGAAATTCGAGGGTCTACAGTAGGTTAAATGAACCGCTTACAAACTAGCACAAAGCTGACTAATGGCCTGAATAGTGGGAGTACTCGGGTTGGGAATGCTTCTTCTTTTCTTATATAAACACTGTTCAAAATACACTATGCAAGCTTTTCTAGAATGCATGACTTGTTGTTACTGGATTATTCAAGTATTTATGTGGAATTCTCTACCTAATATTTCTAAATTATGTTGTATAGTATTCTTTATTTCTCAGATGTTTTGATAACACATGATTTTGCTCATGCAGTATTTAACACGATAGTGAACATGTAGTAGAGCCTCGGTTTTCACTGCAAAAATGTTCCTGAGGTTGCAATGACTACTATATTGATGATAAATTTGTTTTCTACACCTTCAAATTTACAGGCTAAGATGTTGCTTTACGTCGTCCCATTTCAAAGTCCAGCCTTGTCCAGTGTGAGAACTGTCGGCTCACACTCGGTTCACTGTATCTTGTGACGTAATTATCTTCAGCGTTCTTCTTTGTAGTGACTGATGAAGCCAGCGTATGGCAAAATGTTTTCACAATAAAGATATCCAAATGTTGCATGTGTGTCTGAAAACACTGGAGGCAGTAGTAGTAGTTTTGACATGCTGAATCTGTTAGCCTTGGTAGGTGGTGGTCAGTCCCTCAACACTATATCATAGGCATGCAGCCAGACCTTATGTATAGAACAGAGGTGAGGTGAAGCAGAGGGTCATAGCTCGCTAGTGGAAGTAGGTTGTGTTAAACATTTGTTTAGTGAACGAGCTGTAGAAGGCTTTCCCTGTGTCAGGATGTCATGGTGTTGCTGAATCAGATAAGTATCATAGTGATGATACTGTATACATTACTGATGAGATGAAGAATAAGACATACAATACTGGGGTGTGTTGCATATATTATTCAACTTGTTGGTATGGTCTCAGTAATATAATTAATGCTGGTGAAGGATCTTAACCCAAGGAATTGGAGATATCCTCTCCTTGGATTGAACTTGATTATATCCCAGCTTGATAAACTGCTCAAATCAGTCCAATTTACAAACCACAGTGGACTGCATGTGGCCACCAATAATAGCAAGGTTGATCTAGCCTTGATTCACCAGAAGGCCTTGCCTGGGACTGGGCGATATGGGTGTTGATCTCCCAAAAATGTCCCTCACCTATCATTCAGGTAATCCCCAGATGCTATGACCTCTGAAAGTTCCATGCTTCTCCGTGACTGTAATAATCCTAATTGACAAAACTTACAAATTGTTTTAATTAATAAAATACCATTGAGAGTACTGTATTTGCAACTCTTCAGATATTTCTACAAGCCAAGATGCATACAGAAAGAAAGGCAAGACTACATATTTTGTATCCTATATAAATTTAACCCTGGCTACTTTCTATAATATTTACTGTATACAAATCATTTGTCTTTGATATTTTTTTTTCTGTAATTTGATTTCTTATAGGCATATATAGTGCAATTTTTAAAGGCATATAGGAAGTCTATGTTTAACAACTACAGTTTATATGTAGTTTGTAGCCAGAATTCACAAAAAATGGTTAGTATTTTGTCTGCAGTGATGTACATATTAACCCTTAAACTGTCCAAACGTAGATCTACGTTTGCTCGCGAAACGCTCCGAACATAGATCTACGTTTTTTTTTTACATTGTTTCTTATGGAGAAAATCAAGGTCGGAGCACTACGTGTGCAAACATAGATCTACGTTTGGACAGTTTAAGGGTTAAACAGCATTTTGTCATGATGCAATTTTTGTTATCACGCTGTTACTTTATTTATTCAATACAGTGTGTCATACCACTTTTTATCACCATTATTTATTAAATACAGTGTGTGACTGTCTTCCAAGAAGTGTGCAGATGATCATAATTCAAATGACCCAGTGAATTGCAGCATTCACACACTGAAGGACAGTGGGAGGTACTTCCCACCTCCAGAACTCAAGTCAAGCTAACATGTTTCTGTAAATCCCTTAATAAAAGTTGCCTTGCCTTGTTAGTGTGACTTTGTAAATGGTCCAAGTCGGACCGAAATGTCGTGGTAAGCTCCTCTCTCGTATGTGCGGGTTATTTGTGTATTGTTCCAGTCATGATATTGTGCCTTTTTCTTATTCATAAAAACTAGTTTCTTCGCTTGCTCCGATCCGAATTATTTCGTGTGTATTTATATTTTTATGTAGTTCTGTATACTGTAGCATAGTAATGAAAAATAGTCTTTTATCTGGAACAACGTTGGTCTTGATGCCAGTGAGGAACTCTGATCCAAGAATTAGACCTCTCCTCCCTTTGAACCATTTCTGATGGTCCTCCCATTCTCCTAGGTAATGTATGCCCCTTATGAGTTTAGCACTCGTCCCATTAATGTACTACTACTAATAAATAACTGGTGCCGAAAACAACTGTATAACATCAGAAATTTGAAAAGTATAAATCATGTCCATCCCCACTACTCCATATGGTCATGTTTTCATGACCACATGTCTTTAAGAACATGTCAGGAAGGGGGTCATTCTCCCTTCTTAAGGTTATGTCATTGAGGAAGCATACGTCCCCTGTGGAAAAAGACATGTACAGTTCGGGACATTTATTGTAGGAAATGTTTCCCGTAATAAATGTTCTGAACTGTACATTTTTTTCCACGTTCTGTTGATATCACCATGTCTCATACAACCCCTCCCCAAGGTTATGTCATGAATGGGATAGAAATGACTATTGGAGAGAGTGAAGGAGACCGAGTTTTAGGGGCTTCATCACCCAGCAGGCTTGTGTGATTATGTTAGATTGGAGTGAATGGAGATGAACAATTTTTAATGGACATTCTGTTGGAGTGTGAGCAAGGTAGCATTTATGAAGGTATTCAGGTAAACTTGTTAGCTGGATATGAGTCTTGGAGGTGGAAAGCATAGTTTCTGCACTGAAGGAAGAGTAGGGATGTTGTAGTCCTGAAGGTGGGAAGTATAGTGCACGTTCTCTGAAGGAGGTTAGGGATGTTTCGATCCTGGATGTGGGATGTAGTGTCTTCTCTGTGAAGGAAGAGTGAGGATGTTGCAGTTGGAGGACACTTTGAGTTGTGATGTCAGCATACTTTTGCCAAGACAGGGATTGAACAAGTGATGCTGAATGTGTTTCCTTTTCTTAGGTCACCCTGTTTTGGCAGGAGATGGCAATTGAGATTTAAAAAAAAAAAGTAACTAGTATAAATTTTTAAAATAAAGCAATGCTAATTAAAAAACAAAGTATTACAAGGAAATATATTAGTAAAACCTTGATTTAATGGATTACTGGGGGAAGCAAGTGGTCAGTCATGGTAATTGTGATCAATAAAAATGTGATTAGATGAACAGTAATAACAATTATGGGTAATTCTGGAACCAACAAACTGTTATTTCCCAGTCAGTCGACCTAGCAGATTTTTGTCCTGTATTTCTGAAGTCCGTTAAATTGAGGTCAGTTAAATCGGAGGTTTAATGTACTGTACTAATATAGGGGGATGCTGAAAAGTAAACTGCAGTAGCAGTGTTAGTATTTGTTCAGTAATGTGTTTCCGATTATTATTTAAATACTATAGTATATGCAGAAAAAATGCTGTAGTTCAATCTGTTACCTTCTTTTTCTTCCCCCCCCCAGGATTATCAGAATGATAACTATTGTTGGGAGTGCCATCGAGAAGGTGTTTTTATCTGTTGCGAGATGTGCCCGAGAGTTTTCCACCTCAAGTGTGCTGGAATGGAGAAAGAGCCAGAGGAAGACTGGGCATGCAGCGAATGCCATGCTGTGATGCAGGCAGAAAATATTGAAAATCGGTGAGTTTACCATCGTTATTGTGTCCTTCAGGATGAACTGTTTTATTATAAATTTGATCTATATTCTTTAAGATGTGATATTTATTCTTAAACTGGGCAGATGTGATTATATTTTGACAACAGGCAGTAAAACCAAATTGGAAATTTAAACTAGAGTTGATAATGGACCAGTAAGTTCAGTTTTTATTTCTGATGTGTGGGTTAATTAGAAATTCTTCTAGATGTGGTATTGTGGTATTCATTAGAGCACCTTATGTCAGTGCACACTTCATAACTCACGGAATCATAATAGCACATTTGCAAATAAATCACAGAAAGGGTGGGGTTTGAACCCATAGTAAGCATAGCCCTAAAACTCTCAGGTCTGTGTGCTATATCTATTTGGATGAATATTATTAGGCTGGTATGGTCCAGGGGATAAGACACTGGTCTGTGTTTTAAGACTTGCTTGCCAAGGGTACAAGCTCCATGTGTTTTGTGATTTAACACTGAATAATCTTTCCTCATATTACACTGGTTACCAAAATTTAACGATTTATCTTGTTCAGAAACCAAATTAGTTGTTTTAACCATGCTTTGATGCTCTGATCATGAATCTGAGCTTGTTTAGTCTCTAACATGTTAATAGATTGTTTCCTTCTTGTAGGAAAGCATTTTTCATTGTGACTCCCTAAAAAAACGTAATATCTGATAGTGACATTGTCCCTAGTAATGCTCCATATCTTTTAACAGGTATAGGACACTTCTTGATTAATACACACTTAGTTGGTGGTGCATTTTGTGTCACTAGTATACATATTTTGTTTTTATTAACACATTGGCTGTTACCCACCAAGGCAGGGTGGTCCAAAAAAGAAAAACTTTCATCATGGTCGTATCTTTATTAATTCATGGGATGTGATGGTGTTGAGTGCAGAAGCAGGAGAAATGGATGGGCTCTAAAACTCCTATCTATTTATTATAATTTGGCGTTCTCACAACTTGTACTCCTCTCTCTTCCATTAGAGTGGGGAAGAGGTGATGTTATCCAGCTTGGATAGTAATTTGTACAGAAACTTTTTGATAAAGTTGGTAGAATTACCGACAATATGTAAAGTAAAAGGACACAAGTACAACTAATGTGACATTTTATTGTGGCAACGTTTCGATCTCCATGTATTGTCTGAAACAGCTTGATAAAGCTCCTGGAGAGCGAAACATTGCCACAATAAAATGTCACATTAGTTGCACTTGTGTCCTTTTACTTTACAGAAACTTTATGTAGTGGACCTTAGTGTAGTTCAATTGATGTATAATTTTCTGACAGATCTTAATCAAATTTGAAATTGTTCACAGTATGGCTGGACTCCATAAAACCTTTTGTTATAATTCATTTAATTTACAGCATAAACTCATTCATGACAAATTCTCCTTTAATTGATTGTTGTCGTAGAGTATGTGCATTTTTATATTTTTTCCATTATTTCGTTACAAGTAATTGAACTTACAAGTACAATTCTTCTTTCAACATACCAGCCGTATCCCACTGAGGTGGGGTGACCCAAAAGAAAAAACTGAAGTTTCTCCTTTTAAATTTAGTAATATATACAGGAGAAGGGGTTACTAGCCCCTTGCTCCCGGCATTTTAGTCGCCTCTTACGACACGCATGGCTTACAGAGGAAGAATTCTGTTCCACTTCCCCATGGAGATAAGAGGAAATAAACAAGAACAAGAATTAGAAAGAAAATAGAAGAAAACCCAGAGGGGTGTGTATATATATGCTTGTACATGTATTGATTGATGGGATAAAGATAGAAATGTTAAAAGCAGGTGGGGATATAGTTTTGGAGTGGTTGGTGCAATTATTTAATAAATGTATGGAAGAGGGTAAGGTACCTAGGGATTGGCAGAGAGCATGCATAGTCCCTTTGTATAAAGGCAAAGGGGATAAAAGAGAGTGCAAAAATTATAGGGGGATAAGTCTGTTGAGTGTACCTGGTAAAGTGTATGGTAGAGTTATAATTGAAAGAATTAAGAGTAAGACGGAGAATAGGATAGCAGATGAACAAGGAGGCTTTAGGAAAGGTAGGGGGTGTGTGGACCAGGTGTTTACAGTGAAACATATAAGTGAACAGTATTTAGATAAGGCTAAAGAGGTCTTTGTGGCATTTATGGATTTGGAAAAGGCGTATGACAGGGTGGATAGGGGGGCAATGTGGCAGATGTTGCAAGTGTATGGTGTAGGAGGTAGGTTACTGAAAGCAGTGAAGAGTTTTTACGAGGATAGTGAGGCTCAAGTTAGAGTATGTAGGAAAGAGGGAAATTTTTTCCCAGTAAAAGTAGGCCTTAGACAAGGATGTGTGATGTCACCGTGGTTGTTTAATATATTTATAGATGGGGTTGTAAGAGAAGTAAATGCGAGGGTCTTGGCAAGAGGCGTGGAGTTAAAAGATAAAGAATCACACACAAAGTGGGAGTTGTCACAGCTGCTCTTTGCTGATGACACTGTGCTCTTGGGAGATTCTGAAGAGAAGCTGCAGAGATTGGTGGATGAATTTGGTAGGGTGTGCAAAAGAAGAAAATTAAAGGTGAATACAGGAAAGAGTAAGGTTATGAGGATAACAAAAAGATTAGGTGATGAAAGATTGAATATCAGATTGGAGGGAGAGAGTATGGAGGAGGTGAACGTATTCAGATATTTGGGAGTGGACGTGTCAGCGGATGGGTCTATGAAAGATGAGGTGAATCATAGAATTGATGAGGGAAAAAGAGTGAGTGGTGCACTTAGGAGTCTGTGGAGACAAAGAACTTTGTCCTTGGAGGCAAAGAGGGGAATGTATGAGAGTATAGTTTTACCAACGCTCTTATATGGGTGTGAAGCGTGGGTGATGAATGTTGCAGCGAGGAGAAGGCTGGAGGCAGTGGAGATGTCATGTCTGAGGGCAATGTGTGGTGTGAATATAATGCAGAGAATTCGTAGTTTGGAAGTTAGGAGGAGGTGCGGGATTACCAAAACTGTTGTCCAGAGGGCTGAGGAAGGGTTGTTGAGGTGGTTCGGACATGTAGAGAGAATGGAGCGAAACAGAATGACTTCAAGAGTGTATCAGTCTGTAGTGGAAGGAAGGCGGGGTAGGGGTCGGCCTAGGAAGGGTTGGAGGGAGGGGGTAAAGGAGGTTTTGTGTGCGAGGGGCTTGGACTTCCAGCAGGCATGCGTGAGCGTGTTTGATAGGAGTGAATGGAGACAAATGGTTTTTAATACTTGACGTGCTGTTGGAGTGTGAGCAAAGTAACATTTATGAAGGGATTCAGGGAAACCGGCAGGCCGGACTTGAGTCCTGGAGATGGGAAGTACAGTGCCTGCACTCTGAAGGAGGGGTGTTAATGTTGCAGTTTAAAAACTGTAGTGTAAAGCATCCTTCTGGCAAGACAGTGATGGAGCGAATGATGGTGGAAGTTTTTCTTTTTCGGGCCACCCTGCCTTGGTGGGAATCGGCCAGTGTGATAATAATAAAATATAAAAACATGTATGTGTAGTGTGACCTAAGTGTAAGTAGAAGTAGCAAGACTTACCTGTTATCTTGCATATTTATGAGACAGATGAAAGACACCAGCAATCCTACCATCATGTAAAACAATTACAGGCTTTCGTTTTACACTCACTTGGCAGGACGGTAGTACCTCCCTGGGCGGTTGCTGTCTACCAACCTACTACCTACAACAAGTACAATTATGTACATGAAAATAAATGTCACAAAGTTGGTGATCCATTTTTCAACACTTATTGAGAACTCTGACGGTAGTGGCTGTAAAACTCATTGGTATTCTAGAAATGCTCTCCGACCACTTGCTTGCATAGCAGCATACTTAATGGATAGCCAGTTGCCGGTTCTTTAATTTAGGTGTAATTTTAATGCAAAGGTCTACCGAGCATATTAATCGACCACAGATTGTGAGGAGGAGTACGGCAGCCTTTAAGTAGAGTGATGTCGTGTCTGTTTTTCTGTAGGATCCTTATGGGTCCTGCACGATATATATAACAATAATATTTCTGTAAATAGCAATTCTGAAAAACCTGAGTTTGTGCAGTTGATTGTTCTTTTCTCATATATGTTGACTGATCTTACATCGCAGGTTTATTTGTTTGTCTACAACCTCTGGGACCTGACCTTACAAGTATATAAGGTTGCCTGCATCCCCAGACAGTATGCTGCAGTTCACTTGTAATGTTATTCAGCTCTTATGGAATCTGTTACTAGGTAATTATCTATTTGAGCTTGCTGGGACAGGGAAGCTGTACTGCAGCTCTTGGTTCTGCCTTATAATTTTCAGCCAACTGCCATGACTGACCCCTTTTGTGTCTAATGGTTGAACACCTGTGTGTAGTGCTCTCTCACTATTATTGTTTCGTTTCATTTATTTACCGGACTTTGAGTCCTGGAGGTGGGAAGTACAATGCCTACACTTTAAAGGAGAGGTTTGGGATATTTGCTGTTTGGAGTGATGTCTGAACTGTCGTATCTACGCACCTCTTCTAAGACAGTGATTATGTGTGAATGATAGTGAAAGTGTTTTTTTTTTTTTTTCCTTCTTTTTTGGGGTCACACTACCTCAGTGGAAGATGGCCAGCTTGTTAAAAAAAAAAAAAGTACTTTGTAATATCATTGTGGCTCATTTTGGTGGTGTGATTTCTGTTAATGTTTCCTTGTTCTTGTATCCCTAGTAAAGATCTTGCTATTGTCTGCTTTGCCTATACCCTATAATATTTTATATTGTGATTATATCCCCACTTTTTCTTTGCTCCTCCAGTGACTTAAGTCCTAATTCTTGCATTTTTTTTAATTGCTCATTTCCCTCAGTTCAGGCAGCAGTCTTGCTGCTCACAAGAATGTCTTACACATGTAAATTGTTCCTGAAATGCCAGGTCACCGCATGGAGAAGACCCGGGCCAGGACCTGTCCTGGCAAACCTACCTGAAGCTGTTTCTGAAGCACTTAAGTTTCTTGAATGCTACTCATACTGT